ATTTTAATTTTTTACCTACGTGAATTTACCGAAAAAACCAAAGAGTATGAATCCTTGCAGTCACGAAAGCTTCAAATCTAGAAAACTATGCTCTGGTAATATATGCATCGTCGTTGACACTGATTGGTCTAAATCAGAGAGGTCTGGTGTCAACCAATGTTAGAACAGAGAACGCCAAACGGCGAATAGTACAAAGACAAAGCACATATCAGAGCGTTTATAGCTCAGGGTGAGCAGCGATATTTATGTACTGTTCACCGTAAGTGAAGCCAGTAGTCAATTGTTTTAATCTAAAGCAGTTGTAGAGTGTGCTAGATTAAAGAGAGTATCTTTAGTAATGTGTTCTTCCTTGTGTCCTGAAATGAGTGCAAACTTTGATAAGTTACAAAACTAAATTCCAGTGATACTGGAAACAAGTCCCAAAGATGTAACTGCTCAACCAGAGCTATTCATGCTTTGATAATTGCATTGTCTTTGTGCCGTCTCCCTGGTGTAACATTGGTTGAGACTCGGCGTGTAGGCCAATCAGTTTTAAAGACAATGTATATATTGCCACAGCATGTTTTTGTATGCATGTTCACCACAAGTATGCGTGGTTACTGCAAACATGATTCTTTGGAAAAGGATTCTGTTTGGTATTTGAACTTCTTAACATCTGTTTTTTGGCCAGAAAGGGTCAAACCTTTTCTTATAACTGACAAACTAGCTAGAGTTTTTGAAAAAAAAATCTGAGTAAGATTTGGCACGTTTCACAACATTCCAAAACTCGTATCTTGTACTATATATATATTTAAACAACTACGCTGGTTTGGTCATCTGCGTGCGTATCTGGACGTTAATTTATTTACAGACCCGCCCAAACAGCTCGCTCTGATTCGATGAAAATAAAACAGCCGGCAAAAAGCCACCGCTCACTTTGATTCGAAAAAAAAACAGCCGGAAGAAAGCGAAAGCATAGGTTTGGCAAGGTCTGCGCCGCAGTGCTGCAGTGCACTGTGGGCGCAGACCCTGCGCTGTGTGAGTGTGCTGTGTATGCAAGTGTGCGAATGGTAGTTACGCTAATCTTAGGTATATTTAAGTAAAAAATGGGAGCTGCGTGCTGCGATTAGTGGAGTCCCCAAACAAATTTACCTTACGAGTAGGCAGGGGTCGCTATACAGTGAGTCTTAGCGGACTGAGCTGGCAGCTTCACCTGCCGGAACCACGGCCAGTTGCGTAGCGCCCCCTACAGTTTCGCCCATGGGTCAATACCCCCATGGGGCAACCCAGCTGATTGTTTGATGGGTACAATGGGTACTTTTTGGTTTATCCGGCTTATTACCATTATTATGTATTGACGTTGATCACGTCTCCATGGACGGCTTGCTGTCTACTTCGGTTGTGTAATTGAGATGTTGTGCATGCTGCTGCTGGTAAGGGCATGTGTTACATAACATGCAGCATGTGTCCGCGTTTAATGTTTGGATGTTTTGGAGTGCCAATCCCATGCACTTTGAAATGTTATTAACTGTCTAAAAAGGTTGCAGCCTGGCCCCCGCCGCTGTCACTCTCTGGCCGTTGCGCAAGCCATATCGGAATTTGCGACATGCTAAAACAATGAGTACAGTGTGACACCACCCGGGTAACTCCCGGGATCAAAATGGGCATTGGAAAGTGATCGCTTTATTGAGATGATTATGGTACTACCACAGGGTATTGTGAACGGTTCAGGAGGAGGAGAGGTCTGGATATGTAAGTCTCATAGTACCGGTAAGAAGCGCCGGGTGGGGGATATACGATCATGCAATGTTTCTATCTGCAAGCTGTCATAACTGAAACGATCCCCGTTATTGTTCGATTGAGAAATGGAGTGACCCACACCTCTGATACCATATGTGAGGAACCCAAAGATCTGATGCATGCGTAAAACACCCACAATGGGAATACGTAAACGTAAACACACCAACAAAATGCATTTTAATATAAGAAAAAAATAGGTGGCCCCATAGTGCATCTGTCTGTGTGTGTACATACAGACGAAGGATGCAGGGGCCAACCTGTGTGCGATCGGAACGGTGCAATTGCTGACCAATGTCACTGTGGATGGCGCACACGCTGACGCACACCGGAGCTGTGTCTCTGCGATGCAAGGGCATGGTGGATGGTGGAGCGCATATGGATGGTGCGTTACGAATAAAATAAAACAAAACAAACCGCTGGAAGCAACCATGCGAGCAGGCTACCTTGAAAGGGATCGCGAATGGGTTGCGTGTCTGGAAGAAGCCTCGCTCTTTCAGATGCCGTACCAGCTTCGTCAACTCTTCGCTACGATTCTGCTGTATTCCATGCCAGCAGATACGAAGGCTCTCTGGGATAAATTCTACGACGAATTGGCTCGCGATTACGAGTACCAGTATCGCCAGCTGACCAACAAAGAAGAAATGGTTAATCTTCTTGGTTCTTTCGGTAAAGTGACGTAGAAGGGAAGTAATAAAATAATAAAAATAAAACATAATAAAATAATTCTCACGACGTTTTGGCCACAACGCAAGCAGCCGTCCTCAGGTGAAAAACAGGTCTGTCGAGGCGACAGCGTCTGAATGAAACAGCACACGTGCTTGGAGCATAAGCTGGGTTGGAAGGGGGGGAAAGGGCGCCTTGACAAAAAAATTGCATATCAAGAGGAATTTAGCATATTTATGGGAAATGCAGGTATGTGATTAGTACTACTTATGCCCGTGCATTATGCAGGATTAGCAGCAACAAAGGGAGGGGATATGGGAAATGCAGGTATGTGATTAGTACTACTTATACCCGTGCATTATGCAGAATTAGCAGCATCAAAGAAAATAAAAGGAATGGTAAAGTTCAAGACCCTTCACAGCCTCCACGAGTTCCTCACGGCAGGTGGGATGGCTCTGTCGGACTTTGACGACCTCCCGCAGCTTTCCGAGTACCCACACTTGGTCTTGGACTCGCTGCTTGAGAACAACCATATCCGCCGCGAATTGGACACGAAGGACTTCCCATTTCGACTTCGGCGCAAACAGTTCCCCATTGTCCCAGCCTTCGCGATGACCATCAACAAGGCGCAAGGGCAAACTGTTCACAACCTGGGATGATATCTACCAACGCCATGCTTCTCGCACGGCCAACTGTACGTGGCACTATCGCGAGTCACGACAAGATCCAACATAAAGGCGCTTATTGAGGGACCTGACGACGAGGAGGAAGACGGAGTGTACACGAAGAATATCGTGTATCGCCAGATATTTCAATAAGTTGCATTCTATATTTGAATAAGTTGCATTCTTTAATATTGTCGATTGAGCGTCTCAAAAAAATGCATATAACCTCACTAAAATAAACATAAAACAATCACCAAAACATGTCTATTGTGTCCAGCCACTTTCAACTCCCCACCAACCAAGCATATACACACCGCCCGCGAAGCGGGCGGCGACTGCTAGTAAATGAATGGTTAAAGTTTTCAACAGAAGGTGTGTGTCCGATTAATTTCTCGTGTGGTAAATGCATAAGACTAAAATAACACAAAAGAAATACGAAATACTCAAAACACATCTGTCAGCAGTTGCAAAAAATGCTTGCCAACAAAAACATTCAATTTATTTAGATAACGTTAAAGTTTTGTGTACAACTAATTATTACTGGCCAAGACTAATTCTAGAATCTATTTAAATTTCGAGAAATACAAATAATTTGAACTGCTTTGACGGCTACATGCTTTGTGCGGCCTAGTAGCGCATTATTTAAGTAATACACCTTACAACTGCATTCCTTGTAAAAGCAACACATGTTAATCAACTGTTATTAACAATCTATTCTTATATATTTACAATACGCCCCCTGACTCCTCTGATGTCCGCACCTGATTGGCTCACAGTAATGACGTTATCGTGCTCTATTTAAGGCAGGTGAATAAGTTTCACTATTCTGGCAAATTGCCCAATGGTGCTTGATGTGAAACGTCGTACTTAAATTGTAATTGTTGTGGATTTACTCTCCCACACCGGTGGGCTGATGTAGTAACTAACTGGCGCGTTGTTTACGTGACAACCCTTACTGGCTGTGTCGGGTGGTGGAGGGTTATGACACATTTATACTTACGCGATCTAACCCAAAAAAAACGTTATTATTATGTAGTAATCTGTTTAGTGTTAACAAATATTTATTGTTGTTAAACTCCTTATTCAGTTCCTTTTTGTAATGTTAATTGCACTACTATTATTAAGTATTAGATTCATACATATTTTGTAAATCCAGGGATAAAACAATGAAAATGCATGATGCTTAATTTTTGTTCAGTAACGCAACCACTCGTATCAAATGCACAATTTCTCAAGGAAAGTGAACTTCGTGCAGCACCATTTCACCTTGCTTACTGGTTTTCAGGCATGCATGTCGCGCGTTATGCGACGGACGCCTGTACGTATTAAGTTGTACTGAGAACGATGGGAGACATCTGGAGGTTTAACACATAGGCTTCCGCGACGAGTGTTGTTCATAATAACGTGTTTTTTGCCTTAGATTGTGTAAATGTAAATGTGTCGTAAATTTCAGCTCCACCCGACACAGAACATTAATAAAGCGTATCACTTGAACAAAACATGCCAATTGGTGACTTCAGCACACCGGTTGTAATCACCAGTGAAACTTTGTACTCAAATTGTAAATGTTGCTGGTTTGCTCTTTAATATACAACCGGTGTAACAACTAACTAACTGTCCTCAGGCCCAAACATTAAAATTCTTCTCCTTTGAGAAAAGACATCGTGTCTCAAGATGGCTGCTTGAGTCTTCTCTCTCCTTGTGACTCGTTATGCAATATGGCTTATACCATTTCAGCGGCCATTCATTAGGAGTAGTTTTATGGGTTAACTCTTTCCCTAGTTCTACACTCATAAGCACAGTATTTACAATAACTCTTATAGTAAATCACCTTTCTCCACAGTGTCATTTCATAGCAATCATAACATTATTTTCATGTTGTTGTTTTTTCAGAACCCTGTCAAATCTGAAGGACAAACAATAATCGCTCTTGCCACTACGCCATGGAGGGTAAAAGGAAGTGGAAACTGTTGGTGCCATTTATTATCATCATCACCTTCTTCATCATGGGTTTCACAACCCGTTTCCAGGTCAGCGTCCACAACACAGATATATACATGAACATGAATGCAACACAAGACGAAACACATAGTATGGAGGTTTTACGGATACCAGAGGGTATGCGACCAATAACCTGTCCATTGCATTCCTAGTCATGATACACAGTCCATCAACGTGGCACTGAACTTGAGTCACCACTTGGCCTGCATTCAAAATTTACCATTGAGACTTGGCAATGTCACCCTGGGATTAAACGTGTCATTAGACGACCTGTGTTGAAAATGGTTGGAGCAGTTGGGGATCATTTATGAAACCATTTACACATTTCAATCTACAATTGTATGTTACTGGAGTATCTGGCTATGTCCATTACGGCTCTCAAAGCACAATGGCTGATTTTTTTTCGAGACACTTTGCCAATCTGTATTTGGTGTAGGTGTAACGGGTTCCGGAGACACTTGTAGAGGTAAATTATTTATTACAATACAACACTCCAACAGTCCTGATACTCTGTTACAGCCTAGGTACACAGCCTAGGTACACAGCCTAGATACTCTACTCTGGCTACGCTCTGGAACTCGCCCTAACAAGGTCGTAGAGTCGGGAGTTCCAGAGTCCCACCACTGGCTCTCACGTCGTCCCAGGGTCCTCCGATGGCTGGTCTTGGGTCTTGGGTCTTGAGCTACGACTGGCCCTGATCGTCCAGGGAGCTCCCTTTTTATGTCTAGTCCAACGAGGGGTGGGGCCGTGTGCGCCACCAGACATCCCACAGAGCACACACACCCCCCCCCCCGTTGGGGGCGCCAAAAGGCTTAAGCGCCTGGGAACCCAACGCCTGGCGCCCAGAGGCTTAAGCGTCTTGACCCCCTGGGAACCCAGCGCCTGGCGCCCAGAGGCTTAAGCGTCTGGACCCGCCCGGGAACCCAGAGCCCCCAGCAGCCCCTCCCTTCTTATGTCACTACATAGGCACTGTAGTTTAACAGTAGTCGTTATGGTTGGTATTAGCCCTCCTGGTCAGTGGTCACTGTGCCTCAGCCTAGGCTCTTGTCAATTTCGCTCTGATCGGTGGCTTTTGACAGGTTTATTATGGCATGATGCGCAGTCGTTTGAAGACTTGTATAAGCTGTGACGACGTGGCATTGTCTCGATTCGAGTCATACTTGACAGGCAGAGCACACAATGTGTGTAATCGAGGTCAATATTTAGAGGCTGATCTTGTATCAAATAAAGTTCTACAGGATTATGTTAAACTAAGCTTTTTATTTTACCAGGTAAGCCCCTCTAAACTATAGCTCTTTTTCAGAAACGACCAGGCGACAAATGATAGCTGAAGGAAATGGCTTATCACATGGCAAATACTTTAAACGCTGTTGATTCTAAATTTGTAGTAGAAAAACCGGCGGACCGTGATAAAAGATAATCCACGCGACCATGGGGTGAGAGAGACACGCATACTCTAAATCTACTGCAGGATCAGGGTCAGAATCATTTATAGTAGCAGCTATTTTTGTAGTGTAGTGCTAATACTTACGCAATCCAGGGGTAGAAATACCTACGGGATCTCAGGTAACACTTGAGATAACGTCATGAAGGAAAGGAAAGAGAATGCGGTGCATGAAAGAGAGGGAACGCCCAGGGAGAAAGTGGTGACGTCACCGGATGAGGCGGGGTAATTGGAGTGCTTCCTGGTGGGATTCGGAGTGGAGTGGTTGCACGCAGCGCGAGCTTGTGTGGAAAATAAAGAAGAGTGTGTCATCTCAATCTTCGTCTGGTGGACCCATTACAGTAGCAGCCAAATACTCTAAATGCACGTTTGTAAATGTGGAGGGAAAAACCGGAGGACCTGGAGAAAAATCCATGTGACCACTGGGAGAACATGCAAACTACAAATATACATTTCGATTTAAAGCTTTCGTGACTGCAGGGAGTCATCTTCTTGGTTCTTTCGGTAAAGTCACGTAGAAGGGAAGTAATAAAATAATAAAAAATAAAACATAATAAAATAATTCTCACGACGTTTCGGCCACAACGCAAGCAGCCGTCCTCAGGTGAAGAACATGTCTGTCGATAAGACATTCAGACTCTGTCTTATCGACAGACATGTTCTTCACCTGAGGACGGCTGCTTGCCTTTTGGCCGAAACGTCGTGAGAATTATTTTATTATGTTTTATTTTTATTATTTTATTACAAATATACAGGCATTACAGTTGGGATTGAACCCACGACCTCCACCACTGTGGTACTAATGAGACCACAAATCCTAATCAATTACATGAGATGAAAAGTCAGATTTCTTTTACATTGAAATCAAAACGCCTTACTATTCCTACAGCAACATTACGCAGCTGTATTTGTAGGGAGGGCGCTCCTATTAGTGGCTCCTTAGCAGCATGATTAGATGACCTCCAACTTCCTTCAGCATAGCGCAAGCAAGACAGAGTTGTTTCTTGTTGGCACAAAACAAAGCAACGAGCCAACTTGGACACTTGTACGCATAATTTGTTTCCTGAAAGGTAATACCTTCGTCTTGAGTAATGATTACGAGAGTCGCCCTAGATTGGAGAAGCATTTTCTGTTGTGACCAGAATGCTTTACCAGCTTAGATATATTGCCCACATATGCCCATTTTTTTAAATCAAAGGAATGCAGACATCTCATGTCATGCTCTCATGTCCAATGTTAATAAGTTCACACTAATCTTCTGGTGAATAAATCGCGTGTTAACCAGGGATACCGCTTGGTTCAAACCACAATATCTGAAACAGGCAATTATTCCACCACTCAGCCGTACCACCACCAGTTGCTAAAAATGTTTATAAACTTCTGTGTAATGACGATGATAAACTTATGGAGTCTTGTTCACCACGTGCCAGGTTGGACATCTTGGCTTCCTGCACTTGCCCCAGGTGACCCAGCTCAGCCCAGAGCTTCACCCCAAAAGTCCCATGTGTGCTCCTGACATGTACCGAGAATCCATGCCAGACGTGCAATTCCACAGGGTTGGCTCCACAAAGATTCTCGCATTCTCGGCGTACCTGGATGTCCGCGAAGACAGCCACGACCTGATCCGCGTCTTCGCCCTGGCCCCGACAAGAACGCTGAACGAGCACGTGGCAGTTGCCTGCAGGATGGTCTACTGGCAAGAGGAGCTTTCGCCGTGGTGCGCCAATGTTAGTGCTGAGGCCACCATGCTGAGCAACCACTACTTCTTCGAGTACGCGGTCTTCAACTTCCTGTGCCGCATTCCCAAAGGAGCAACTCCTCCGAGTCATGTTGCTCTAGTCGTCAAGGGGCAAGACGATGACACCTCTACCTCCACCTCATCGGTGCTGATGCCCGTGCAGAACCGTCAGCCCGCTCTGCCTGAGCAACACTTCGGCGTCTGCCTTCCCACCTTCTTCAACAGCTTTAACAACGTGCTGCTGTTTGTGCAGAGCATGGAGTGTTACCGGCTGCTGGGAGCCGGCTTCGTCACCGTCTACAACTCGAGTGTGAGCCCACAGATGGATGCAGTGCTGCGTCATTACATGCGCTCAGGCTTCGTGGACGTGCTGCAGTGGCCCATCACTGACTTCCTAAAACCGTCCACTGGCTGGAACATCAATGTCGACCCGGGCGATTTGCACTACTACGGGCAGATTGCTACCATGAACGACTGCATGTACAGGAACATGTATCGGGCGCGGTACTTGACTATGCATGACGTGGATGAGATTGTAGTTCCCAGAAAGTGGTACAACTGGACCCAGATGATGGAGGAATTGGACGAGCCCAAAATATCCGCATACTACTTCCGCATGCACAACTTCCCCGTAGTGGAGACGGCTTTGTGGACCTCGCGCTCTGGCTACCGAGCCCAAGGCACCAACATCCTAGATCACGTGGTAAAGGTGACCTACCCCCCCAATGAGTTGGCCAGCAAGACGATCGTGCAGCCAAGGGGTGTCCAGTTTCAAGATGTCCACCAGGTCCTAGCTCTCAGGCCAGGCTATGGAATCAAGAGAGTGCCGGATAATGAGGCTGTGGTACAGCACTACAAGTCGTGGAAGAAGATATGGAACTACCCCAGTAGCTCCGAGCTGATACAAGATACGAACCTGCTCAAGTACTCTGAGGTAATTGAGAAGAGGGTGAAGCGGGTGCTGGACAACCTGGGGAAACTTTGAACAAAGTGCATGATGGCATGAGTGAGGTCACTGGGGAATTCAGGGAAAATGTCAATGCTGGGTTTGAAGGAATATGTGCATATGCAAGTGAAACAACAAATAAAGGCAAAATATACATTTATTTTATCAGGTAAAGTCCACTGAGCTATATAGATCTTTGTCAGAAGGAACCTGGCTATCACAAATAAAAGCTCAGCGAAGCGGCTTATTACGTGGAGATTTAAAGCAACCAAACACTCAAAATGCATGTTTCTAAAACTTGGTGGACTTGGTGAAAAATCCACACGATCACAGGGAGCACATGCAAACCTCAAATATACAGCAGGCATCAGGGTCGGGATCGAACCCACAAAACCCTGCATACCAGGTGAGGTCGTCAACATCGTGCCACCTAGGCACTGTAATACGAAAGTACAGGTACTCCTCTACTTACAAACGAGTTAGGTTCCAGAGGTTTGTTCGTAAGTCGATTTGTTTGTAAGTCCAATTTTACTCCTGTTAATTCCAAACATGTTATACGACATGTACACTAAACACGGGGAATGGCTTTTAAATTTGTATAATATAATCTCTTGTAGATGTAGATGCCACTGGTTTTTCATGTTCTGCAGATGTAGATGCCACCACCATCTATTGTACGGCAGTTGAACTTACGACTCTAAAATTTCGTATGCAGAATGTATGTGTGGTGATGCCTGAAGGGGCGTTTTTGCCCAAATATAGTCTGTGAATCAAGGATAATTTGATCGATTCTCCTTAGTCGATCCACCAGCCAGCTCAAAGTCGATCGGGCAGCCTTCATGAAAAAAAATGTGTTTCATTGTTAAACTAGTTTATCATTATACTTTGGGTCTTTCGCCAGGCAAAGGTTTTCAATGAATATAGTAATTCACCTGATGTGATTTTTTATAATTTGATCTACATACTTAGAGATTAAGGTATTTATTTACAGGTGACCCCTGAATTATGTCCGTTCTACTTGCGACCCCCTGCTTTTACGGCATTTCTTATCGTAATAAAGACTCCCAAGGTAACCGCCTAACGACTGCTACCAACGCTGCTTTGCTATACTGACGTATGTGTATGTATAGTATAGCCCGACAGTCTGCAGCTGCTCCAAGAGTGACACAGCATCTCTTTATCAACGCTCTTCACTTTTGTAAATTCTCTTCAAATTTAGAAAATGTTTCGCCTTTTGCTACATCTGAGAATAGGAGATGTGATGCACATGCAGAAAAGTACTTATGGATTTTCAAATATGTTTGTTTTTCTTAGTAAATGTTTGTAAAGGTTATGTTAAATTACAATAAATGTTTTTTAGGTTATTTTATTTTATTTCCGTGGTTAATTTTGGTATATAATGGGTTTCCAGGAACGGAACCCCAATTTATAACATTGCACCTATGGGAAATAACGGCTCGACTTGCGACCGTTTTCCAGGAATCAATTAGATCATAGCTGCTGGGATCGCCTGTATATATATAGATTACATTCTACGGTTCACGGAGCATACAAAACAACGGTATTTTGACGTTTTTTTAAAATAAAATATCTGGTCGATCAGACTGCTATATTAAGTCGCAGTGTAAAAAAAAGTCCGTTTTATGCTGATGAATCAATCTTATGCTCATGTTTAATTTTATCATAGCTACGATTCAGTGTATTACAATATGCTTCTTCATATTTAACTTGATTCTGTGAGTGTCAGATCTTCTATTAAAGTTAATTCAGTGATTACATACCAGACCATTGCATTCCGATTTCAACTTCATGTTTAACTTGATTCTGTTATAATTTGTACTGGCGGTAGGTACCCGGCATTGCCCGGGCGAAAAAGGCAGATACACACGTGTACTTACACACAGACATCGACCCACACACATATAAACACATCGACTTAGACGCACACACACATATATGGACTCACACAGACAGACATTGACTTTCACACACAGATATACTCACACACACATCGACACACACACACACGGACTGTCACACATCGACCGACACACATAGACTCACACACAAACACACATCGACTCACATACGCACATGGAGCCGCACACACATGGACTGACACACACGCAGACATGTACGTACAGACACACAACAACTGGCATTCGGCACTAAGTGTCGTTGACGTCACCATGACGCTTTTGCCAGGCTATGTGTACCTTGAGGCCACGTGAAGTGTCGAACGCCCGCTGGACGGTCACGGGGCAGACCCAGGTGGCACGGGTTGACTGACTGATGCACCACCTGTGCAACCTACTATGGAAATTTGCTGTGCTTTAGCCACCCGGCGCTCCGCTTGTTGTTCTGAGCGTCGCTCCTCCACCCTCCGTTGATGTAGGAGGGCGACTGTCTCCAAATGACCAGTAGCGTCCTTCATGAGCCTCCTCCATTGAGGCCGATTTTGACACCGCTGGTACCAGTCATCGGCAAGTCCACTCAGCTCCACATCCTCCTGTACTACATCACTCCATCTATTCTCTAGCCCGTGCCGCACCCGTTTAGCCCACTCGATCCGGCAGAACAAAAGCTGTTTAGGCATGCGGTGGCTGACCATGTGGGCTACATGGCGCAGCCAACGCAGCCTTGGCTGCCGTAGGAGGTCACAATTGTGGCTTTGTCCAGATCTTTGAAGGATTTGTGAGCTCCTAACACAATCTAGCCTGGTTAAACCCAGGATGGATCGTTGGCAGGCCAGCCTAAATGTTTCTAACCGGTGAAGATGGTCCATTAGGGGGGTCCACGTTTTGCAAGCGTAGAGAAGGAGGGAATTACCATGGCCGAGAAGACCTGGAGCTTCATGCGGAGCGAGAGACCAGGTATCTGCCACACAGCGTTATGCAGCCGATGAAAAGATAATGGTGCTCGACTGATTCGGAGTGAGACCTCATGAACACACTGGGCAGGTATGGGAAACTAATCTCTCCACAATTGGCCCATCACCAATTGTGAGTTCTGGGGGTGGATTGTCCGATGGTACAAAATACCCAGGCAGGTGCTTAGTTTTGGTGGCGCTGATGGTAAGGCCCCACCTCATAGTGGCAAGCTCCAGGTTCAGCAGCAGTGCCTCCAACTCCTCTGAGTGAGCAGCAATCACCAGAGAATTTGGCATACATAACATGTTTGAGCAATAGAGAGCCATCCCTTGACCGCACCCCGGCATCGATCAGCCTCCCATTGTATCTGTACCATATGGTAATTCCAACGATACAGCCATTAAAGGCTTCATGAACTACGTGATCAAAATAGATGTTAAATAATGTGGGAGCCAGAGGACATCCCTGTGGCACCCCAAGATCTACAGGGGATGGCTGAGACTCCCGGGCACGTAATTTACCCGGGCCCGCTGACCATCATGAAGGTCCTTAAGGCTCGTGAGCAAAGGATGAGGTACTCCGAAAGCATGAAGAACAACCCAGAGGCCAGGCCTGCTGATGGTATCATAGGCCTTGAGCAGGTCAATAAAAGCACACACATGGACTCACACACACAGACATCCACTTTAGATACACACACATGGAGTTATACACATACAGCGACGTACACACATACAGCGACTCGCACACACACACATCGACTCGCACACAGGCTTAACGAACTACGTGGTCCTAATATATGTAAAAGAATGCGGGAGCCAGAGGACATCCCTGTCGCACCCAAGGTGTAGAGAGAATGGCTCTGACTCATGGCCACGTATAGTTTGACGCGGGCCGCTCATCATCATGAAGGTCCTTAAGGATCTTGAGCAGAGGGTCAGGGACTCTGAAAGCATGAAGAGCAACCCAGAGCCCAGGCCTACTGATGGTATCATAGGCCTTGACCAGGTCAAATAAGCAAATACATTCACTCACACGCACACATGGACCTACAGACATGCAAAGAAATTGACTTACACTGATTAATATGGAGCCATGCACACACAGAGACTAACACACACGCACATGGACTGACACACACATACAAAGAACAAAGATCCCCCGTAACAGACTGTAGGGGCAAGTGCTGTTAGCGAGCACCTATGAAGGCCGGAACGGTACACGAGGGGGTGGGTGGCCAGCACTACTCCCGACCGCCTTTGTCTCCCTAGTGGCGATGTTTACACACCGCACCAGGTACTCATTTAAGGCTGAGTCGACCTAGGGGAGGCCCAGGACCGGTTCAGATAATCGTCACTGGTGTTAGCCGTGAGCGGGAATCGAACCCGAGTCGCCAGGTTCATAGCGCAGCGCACTAACCGCTACACTACCGCTCCCTACAGACATGCAAAGAAATGGACTTACACTGACTAACATGGACCTATGCACACACAGAGACTAACACACACGCACATGGACTGACACACACATACATAGACTCACACACACACACATTGACATATGGACTCTCACACACAGACATATACTTTAGATAGACACACATGGAGTTACACACACATATCAACTCACACACACACGGACGTACACACACACACAAACAACAACAACAACCGCCATTCGCCACTAAGTGGCGGTGACGTCACCACGACGCTTGTGCCAGGCCATGTGCACCTTGAGGCCACCTGGTCAAGGCCTATGATGGTATCATAGGCCTTGACCAGGTCAATAAAACAGAGATGTAGGTCTTGTTGGAATTCCCTACACCTCTGCTGTAGCAGACGGACAAAAAATATGGCATCTGTGCAGGACCGTCCTTTCCTGAAACCGTATTGGGGCTCTGCAAGTCTCACCTCAGCGTGCCTAGCAAGGCGATGTTGAATAATCCTTGCCAGGACCTTTCTCGGCACACTGAGGAGTGAGATGCCCCTGTAGTTGTTACAGTCTGTGCGGTCCCCCTTCTTAAAGAGGGGGACCACCAGGGCATCCTTCCAATCCTGCAGAACCCATCCAGTGGTCCAGACTGTTGCTATCTTATATATAAAAGTCTCCGCGCGCTCGCGCTTGCGGGGGATTTGGCTCTCGGATGGTGGGGTTTAAGACCGAAATAATTTGCCAGCCGGAACGCCATAAGCCCCGTGGTGGGAATAGGCTATTCCGTTTTCCCATCCGTAAACTTTAAAGTAGTTTAATTAACACATTTGTGCCGTTTCTATTATTAATTATTTACTTATTGCACGACATTGACCGTACCAAGTGACGCTAATTGCGTGGGGGGGGGCGGACCCTGCCAAGTGATGCGCGTTCGCTCCAGCTCACGGGAGACATTTTCTTTTACGCGTTTTACATCCAACACATACACACATCACGCTGCGGATATTTCTTCATAGTGCCATGTCCTCTTCGCACCCCCCCCCCCCCCAACACGATGCATCCAGTTTATACTACAGACTCCGTAGATAATAATATTTTACTGCTTACATAGCATTATTCTTGCACGGGCAGGGGATGCTGGGGAGGGGGTGTAGCGGCCCAGCCCCTAGCCTGGCAACGTGCCAACTCCGCCACCTCGCCAATCTAGGCCAGGACGGGGGCTACGCATGACACAAGGCCTCAACACGCCTATGGTAAGTACAAAGTTCATTGCTTCTTACGCTAACAACTCAAGTCCATTGTTTACTATTGTTAAACACATTAGGCGACAAACATTACAATCATAATGTTTGTGTGCAGATAAAAACTCAGCTTCATTGTTCAACATTATG